AAAAAAAAAAAAGAATTAACATAAAATTTAAGTATATTTTAAACTAAATTTTTTTAAAAAAAGTCTTTTCTTATAATTGTGAAAGTCAAACTTAAATTTTTTTAATGACATTAATTTATTATTATTATAAAAATCAGATATTATTTGGGGATATAAAAATTCTATGAATTGAAATTTTGAAATACCTTCGGAAAAATATGAAATCCTCGATCCACAAATAATGAAAAGTCTCTGATGAGAACATCCTTTATCATATCTAAATCGTTAACGATAAGAACTGGAGTCGTTCCTTCGAATATCCCAGAAACTGATTCATGTTTATAATCGTCGTACCACTTTTTAACAGTTTCAGATATTGACCTTTTTTTTATCACGGAATTCGCAAAATTTCCAAAAAATATTGTAGGTTTTGGTCCAGATATACCACGATTTTTCCAAAAAGCATATTTTGATGAATAATAATAGTAAATCGTGAGAATCAGCATGCTTATGGCGCAGAGAATTTGGAAGTAATCCATGTTATATCAATTTTCCTCTATTCCATAATAATAATAAAAATCAATTAATGCAGTAATTTTAATAATATATATAATAGTATGTAAACTTAAATATGAAGTTGCAAATATATTGCAAATATATAAGCAAGAATAAGAATTAAAAAATTAAAAAAAAATTTTTTAAATTATTTTTATAATATTATTTTAATATTAATTTATTTTAATATTAATTCAAAAGAAGAAAAATTATTTTTTATTTCAATATCGATTTATTTATTTATGAATTTATTTATTTATTTAATGAATATTTAAGAGATAAATAATTATAATAAAAAAAATTTTAATTTAGAATTGATTTCATGTAATATATCTTAAATAATTTTTATATGCTTATAAACATGTCTCAATGAGGTGACTTTTTGATACAATTTTATTTCATTTATATTATTATTCATTTATACGACGAAAGAAATTAAAAATTATTTTATTTCATTTTACTTTATTTATTGTATTTTTGAAAATTTTAAAATTATTAAAGAACAGAATTAATTAAAGTGAATGATATGATATAATATATATTATTTGAAAACAAAATTAATAAAAGAAAAAAGATCATATTTAATATTATTCATATTTAAAGATTTCTTTAATTTATTCCGTTATGAACGCTACCTTAATATTTATATACAATTTCATTAACTTAAAAATTTTGCATAATTTTTTTTTTGAATTTCTTAATTAATCTATATCAATAACTAATAATAATACATTTATAGAAGTAGTACTTTATTTAGAATTCAAAATATACTCACTTGAAGAGATATTTATAACAAAAAAAAATGAAATTTTAAAGAAGTCTCAGATCTATTTGAGATGTCTCTCACGACTGAACGTCAGATAGAGACTAATGATAAGTTTTCTTCCAATTGGTTACATTAATATGAGTCAGATTATATATAGTCAATGTCCTTGATGTAGCCAACGACGATAATAGCGACCTCTACTTTCAGTAAAATTCTAAATTCTAAATAAATATATATATTCATATATACATTTTATTTTAATTTTTAACAATTTAAACAATTTAAAATGAATTAAATTATTATAATTATTATTATCGACATTATTTTCGTTTGTATCCAAAAAAGATGGATTTGTAGAGTAATGTTTACATGAAAACATTCGTGTATATATCTGTTACGTATTTTTTCTGTAGCAAATAATTATATAAATTCAAGAAAGAAAAATAAAACAAAAATATAATATCAACATTTAACATAACGATGCATATATATTAATGAATTCGATGAATTCAATTTGTGGGAAATAAATTTTATTTATCATTCATATAATAGCTGTGTTTTATGATAAATTTATTGTTTACGAGAAATTGAATAAAAACTGCTGCGTAATAATTGCTATATAATTGAGAAGTAAATCTCGACTTGATGTTAATAATCATTGTCCATGACTTGTATAATTGTTATTATCTATCTTACTCATACAAATATCACTAATCTTTTTCCTATAATGCATTAAGAACATAAATATGTATGTCTATAATCTTAGAAAATTCCTGAGCTTAATTAAATCAGAATATATATTTTTCTGATAGTGTGATCAAAAATATTTTCAAAATTCTTGCATTCCTTTTATATCTTCATATTTTTTTGATCAGAGTTTAAAATTAGATATAGAATTAGATATAGAATTTTTTTTTATTAAAACAATATAAGTATTTTTAAGTATCTTTTTTGTAATGACATTGGCAAATTTCTGTTTTTGACGATATGTATTATTAATATATTTAATCATCAATTGATAATCGATAACGATAAGTTTTCGATAAAAATTTGCGATTTTATTTTATCCCCAGATTATAAAAAATTTTTTTTTTCAATAATAAATTTATTGTTAGAATAAAGTATCTAAAGCATAAAAAACTAGTTCAAATTTAATTCAAAAAATTTAGGTCAAATAAAAAATATATAATTTACAAACAGTTTTGTAGATATACTTATCGAAGATATACTTATGAATATATTACATAATGAACATAATATATTACATAATATTACATAATATATTACACAATGAACTGTGATATTATTCAATAATATAATAATATTTACATCGAAAAACAAAAAGAATAAAAAAATTTTTCTTAAGTAATTTCTTTATATTCTATTTCTATATGTAATGATCAATTGTATTTTAATCCTGTAAATTATCATTATATTATTTAAAAATAATTTCATTAAAATCAAATTAAAATCATATTTTATTCCTAAATTTATTAGAATGTGATTTATTTTCTTTTTTTTTTTTTAATGAAAATTTGTAATTGTTTTTAATTTTCTAAATTAAATAAGTCATTAGATTTATATATATTTCTTATTGTAATTATATCATAAATATTGCATAATCATGATATATCAATAAAAATCTTAAGATATATCATATTTCATAACTATGTTATTATTTACATTGATAAATGCGCATTTTGTATTGTACATGTAAATTTATACGTATAATCTTGTGTGATGTGTTTATATTATACTTAAGTATAAGACAAGAAGAGAATAATGTAAATCAGAAACAATTAATTCTATAAAAAAAAAAATTAATAGAAAAAACATAAAAATAAGATAAATAAATAAAATAAATATTAAAACAGAATATTTTCATAATTGATAGTATAATCAAGAAAAAATAGAAAGATATGAAAGGATTTATTTTTTATTTTTAAAGTTTATTTTTTTATTTCCTAATTTGTATCATCATAAATCATATAATACTTGTAGACGCCGATAGATTGCGCATGAATCATGATCAAAGGATTACTTGAACTTGGATTCGAAGTAAATAAATTTTTATATTATATCTATATTATAGAGATATTTATAATAAGTAAATATATATTTATATATGTATTTACATGTGATTTTTAATCTTTCACAGTAAATTACTAATATTATGTAAGTTTTGTTTTAAAATAGTTTAATTTTATATTATTTTTTAAATTTAAATTTATAATAATTTAATTGTAGCTGTACTTCAACGTACGTTTTGTTGGTTTAATTGTAACTATATTTTATTTAAAATATGTGTATATTTTAAATATATTTGGTATCTAAAGATTTAAAAAAGTAAATCTTATGATATAAAATATTTTTGTTAAATATTTAAATAAATAATGTTATACTTTTGTTTTAGAACAAGAAAAGAAAATTTTTATTTATAAAATATTCTAGCAATATGATTTTAATTAACAATTATTTAAACATTTTATAATATTTCTAATAATATCATATTTTTAATAATAAAATTAAACAAGAAATCAAATTTAAAAATTAAATTTTTTTGAAAAATCATCAATTTTCTGACTGTTTTAGTTATTAATTATCCTCGGATTCACAAATTATAACTTATTTAAGAAAATAATTGCTGCCTTAATAACATTAAGATTCATATGTAATCAAAATTAAACTAGATTTTATAAGATTAGATGTTAATAAGTAACATTATTAGAATTATGATATCTTTGTTTTATGATATGTTTTCTAATATGATTTTGTATTTATGACATTGTATTATCATATAGAAAAATATTTCAAAATTGTTATTTTTATACATTATATATTTTGATTCTATTATTTTTTAAAGATTCAAAATATTTTAACATATACATTTCAAAAAAGAACTTAATACTTATACTTAATACTTATATTATATTAATCTTATTTTAAAAATAATTATATACTTTTAGTGATATGAATAAAAAAATCACTATAATTATTTAAATTTGAATTTAATTTAATTTAATTTAATGATTATTTCAATTAGTTTAATAATTATAATGTTGATTCTTGTTGTAACAATAATTATATAATATACTTAAAAATTTGTATGTAATACTGAAACATTTTTATAAGTTTTAATCTCAAAATTCTTTTAAACTTTATAAGCTTTAGTTAATATAATATATATTGAATAACTTTTACTGTCAATATATACATGCATAATACTTATATTAATTTTATATTTTATTTATTTTTAGGTTGATACCTCCTTTCAATGCTAACAAAAATTGAAATGGATCACTTTCATATGGAATCTTAGTTTGCTCGCAAACATCAATTTTATGATTACGGACAATTGTTATAATACCAATTTTGCTTTGAAATTGTGCAAAACGTGCACCTAAAAATGATAATTAAAAATTAGAAAAATAATTCTGAGGATTAATATCCGTTTATTATCTTATTATCATACCTATGCAATTTCTTGGTCCATCGCCAAAAGGTAAATA